ACACTCCCGCGATCGCGTATATGTTAGTTTGCTAGTAAACGCTTCCTGCGAGCCGCATCTCGTAATCGCGCCGGGATAATAAAGCTGGGAATGAAAGTAAACACTTTATTTTGCCGTCTTTGCTCGCCGCCTCTCAGAATACACAGGTACTTTAGGATATTTGCAGATTAGCTGCTTTTACGCTGACTGATGTGTGACAGACAGACAGGCATGAGAGCCAAACAGATGTCGGGTACAGGAGTGGGCGCCCTCCCTAAAGACCGATTTAATGAAGAACCGCGGAAAGAGAGCGGGTTAGAGGAGAAAGACAGAAGGAGAGAGAGAGCGAGGTAGCGTAAGATGTAGAAAGAGAATGGCTGAGAGGGGGAGAAGGAGATAAAAGAGTGAGTGGAGTACGCACATCAAAGACTTGCTAATGATGCTGGATGCCATTAGGGCTTGTAGTGGCCTTTGTTTCGGCTTCCTAACACCTGCAATTTGTTGAGGGCTTTCTATGCCCCGCTGAATTACCCACATTTGCATGAGCACTGAGTGAATACTGGAGGGATAAAAGTGGGAGATTTGGCCCCGCTGCATTTGGACTTGAATGTGGGCTGTGGCCAAATCTCGCCAATGTTCGACATCAGTACTAACTGAGCCATTAGCCAACTGATGTACCAAACTAGTCTTGTGTCTAAAAGATTTACCAAACTAGTCTTAACTCTGTCAATCGATCCACATAAACTTAAGTGTTTCCTCAACTATGGGCTCTTTTATGTTCCAGGATCTAAAGCAGTTTTGGAAACTTTTCACCATGGCTTTTACTTTTAAAAATGACTTTATGTGGACGTGATTATTGTAGCCAGATTTTTGCTCCTAAAATATGAAAATCATAATATGTTTTTAAAATTCCATTATTTGTTACCCTACCTGTTAGTAAGAATTTTTATTGTTTTTGAAAACTTTTTCTTTTCTTTTTTGTCATGTTTTTATGCTCACCAAGGCTGCTTTTATTTGATCAAAAATATAGCAAAAACAGTAATATAGTGAAATAATTAAATAGCTGTTTTTAAAAAGTTATTTATTCATGTGATCAAAGCTGAATTTTCAGCATCATTGCTCCAGTCTTCAGTGTCACATGATCCTTCAGAAATCATGCTAATATGCTGATTTGCTGCTTAAATAGATAAATAAACAAACAAACAAACAAATATTATTAAACAAAGTTGAAAAACAGTTGTGGTGCTTAATATTTTTGTGGAAACCATGATAATTTATTTAGGATTTTATAGAATAGAAAGTTCAACAGAACGTCATTTATTTAAATTTTTAAAATTATTATTATTTATTTATTTATGTTTTTACAATTTAAGCTTTTACTGTGACTTTTGATTAGTTAAATATATAATTTTGAAATGGTAGTGTATGTGAATGTGAAAATAGTGCATGTGAAAATTATTTAGATATTTTTTATTGTTTTACAAACAAGCTGCTAATTTGTGAAATTCTATAAAAATGGTTAAAATATGATTTCATTACGTTTACATAGGACAAATAATATCCTAGTTGTAAAATTAGCTTTAGAAAATGGAAAGATGTTTAAATGTTTAAATAAATATGTTTAAAATTTTCTATTAAATTCAAAAATTAAATACAGTAAGTAGTTTGACATGCGATGAAACAGAATGACACATTTGATGTCTGTAAATCTACTGTTAAACACTGAAACCCAAAAATGAAATAGACTGTGAAAAGTGTGATTTAAGGGAGTTTATCTTTCCAAAAGTGCCCATAGTTGGAGAAACAACTTTGAGCATGAAAATGCTGGATTCTGTAATCATGAGCTATGAGCTGAACACTATCCTGCATGAGCACAGCCATATGGAAGTGCATGCAGCCCATATCTCCTGAAAATGAGCTAAAGTTTCTTTTCCTGCGGGGCTTGGATAGAGGTCTGGGGAAAATCAGAGCATGAAATTGCGATTAGCCCCTGTTGTTTGTGCAGACCAGGAACAGGCTACAGGACTTGGCATGGCCGAAGGTGTAACCTGTTTTGTTTGGCCTTGCTGAAGCCCTCCCAGATGGTGCTCGCAGCTGCCACTGAGTAAACGCAAGCAGGGCGAGCACTGAGAGAAGTGGCCAGGACCTGTTTACATTCAGGAGGCAAAACAACAAATCTGTCCCTTACAGTCAGTACAAGCCATGGAAAGAGACTGTCTCAGTTCTGACGGTTTCTTACAGCTCATCATAATCACACACACATAAAGATTATGGGAAGTAATTTACCATATTCAGCTTGAACCATTAGCTTCTCTACACTAAGTGTTACAGAATATGAGTTCTGGCATCATAAAAAATGAAAGTGGTTTTAAGGTACTATTATAGTTTTATTCATATTTTTAGTTGTAGTTGCTTTAGTTTAATAATTTTGTTGTTTTATTAATTTTGCTGTGTTTTTGTCCATTTTAGTATTTTATGTCTATATTGTTTTTTGAGTTTTAGTTTTACTTATTTTAGTACATCAAATTAAATGCGTGAAAATGAGAAATGTTTTCTGGGCAGCTAGCTGAAATAAAATAAAATAAGTTTAAGTTTTTTGTTATATTTTATTTCCGTTAGCATTTATTTTTAGATTTAGTTTTAATTATTGACCCTGGGTTGAATGACTAATGGCATGTAATACAATCACTAAAATGCCAAACTAAATCTTTAATATCTCAGTATTCAAACACAGATTAAGGCTACGTTTACACGACAACGATGTAGTCAAAAACGAAAAAGTTTTTCCCTTGCGTTTTTAAAAGTTTCACGACAACGTTTTCAAAACGAATAAATCACGTACTACGTACGCGCATGACGTCACCGTTTTCAAAGGTTCCCGTTTTGGGTGTTTACACGGAAACGATAACGGTGGTGTTTTCAAAAAATATGCGTTTTCAGTCCCAAAATGCCGTTGTCGTGTAAACAAACAGGCAAAACGCATAAAAAGTTTCCAGTTTTGGCTGAAAACGTTGTTGTGTAAACGGCCCCTAAATTAAATAAAGTCTCCTGATTCACCAATTTTTTATTCTGAGAACAAGACCCCAGTAATCTCTCAGGTCTACTTTAAAGTTTCAGAAGAGATCTCAAATATTTCTCAAATTTGCCAAGATACTGTGTTTGCAAATTAATTTAAATACAAACTTATCACATTTTTCCAAAACCTAATAATATGAGCTGCTAATCTACATGTACTTTATATCTCTATTATTTTATGTAAGTCGCCATTGACTCACAGATTTAAGGAGAAACGTTTGAGATAAAGTTGATACTTAAGTAAAGCTGAGAACTCAGTTAAGTTTCTCAAAGAGCTGAGTGGTTTTGCAGCTCTATTTTCCTTCAGTCAATGAACAATATCTCTATTTCCAGTTGGCCATCCATTGTTTAATATTAATTTGCCTACAAAACTGTTTGTTGATGTGAAATCTAAATGTTAATTATCTCACTCTCTGTGCTCTGAAATGTTTGATTAATTCAGCAACAAAGAAAGCCTCAATTGTCTCAAAGACAAACGTCTGCACAGGTCTTCAAACCCTACTGAATCTAAAATGAGTAAATATCCATGAACTAGATGTTCTGGCCCCTCCGTCTAATCCGTAACCTCTGATCACGCTCGAGGAAGCCAGACGTGGCCCCAACAATTACCCCGGGCCGGCGGGAACAGAGCGGGTCAGAGCTGCGATGCCACACACAGCGGCGAGCGGGTGTTTAAGGGCCGACCTCTCCCTCATCTCCTGACCTGAGGCCCGTCAGCACACCGCTCCAGCCTGAGCACCGGCAACAGTATCAGATTTCAGGGGAAGATGTTGGAAATTGGCAAGAGCAGAGTCAGGCTACACAGCGTCGAGGGCAGAACACAATGGCAGCTTTCTGTCAGGGAGAGACTTCAAAGGGCCACTGAGTGACTACTCTGAGTTGGACTTTGTTGTAGATCACTGAGGAAATTCACAGATGTTTTCTCATACGAGACACCATTACTGAGGCTCTCGCACCCAGTAGCCCCGAGCATTTCTCTGCCTTTCCATCTCTCCTGCTCTTGTGTGCGAGACAGATGTGGGAACCCCTTTTTTCTTTTTTCAGACTTTTTGCTTTATTTTCTTGTACTGTCTGTCCAGAGAACATGAAAAGGCTCTGACCTGTCCGAAAGAAGCGCTAAAAAATCAAGAAACTCACTGTTGATGCTTTCATCCAAAACTCACAGACAATGCTGTGATTCTGTCAGAAGACATCCATTACAGTTGCGCGTCACCACCGAACTCTTGTAGATTAGACAGATATTTTACATGTGATTTGATCAAGCTTTTCATTAGCCCTATAAAGCCTACTGTTTCTTGGCATCTAAATTATCAACATGATCAAAACTTTGTTGGAAAACCTTTTGTACAATCTATTACATGCCTTCTGTTGTCTGGTTGATGGTTCAGACTTTTTCAGCAAGTAAAAGGCCATTTAATGTGAAAAACGTCCCCCTTTAGCACGTGTCTTTTTGATATGAAATCTTTACTGATTTTCATAGAGTTAATGTAAAAATAACCGTTATATTGTTAATGATATTTCAAGATGAACACTTACTGGACTGAAGTGTCTTAGGTTTATTATTTGATTATCCATGCATTATTTTTTTTTTAGAAAAATCGTGTTAAAATGTATCAAATATAATGCAACAGGATTTTGAAGAACATATATTTGTTCATCTCTCAATCGTTGTATTGCATTCATTATATGTTTTGCCCACAATAATAAAAACTAGAGAGCTAATCATGAAGCTAAGCATTTTAAATGTGATCTTACTAAAACATATTATTAGGAGATGCAGAGTAACAACTGATATTTACATGCATTCTATGTAGTCTGCTATATTTTTATAAAGATCATTGATTTACATGACAAGCTCTCAGAATTGTATCTTACATGGTCAAATGTTTGCATTTATGTTTTATGTAACCACTGAAAACTAATTACCCTCTTTTTTTCTTTTACAGATTGCCTTCTCCAGCCTTTTGCTGCAAAATGTGCTGTATATATAAAATAATGAGGGGTAATTATTTATGCATGCATTATTTTCTCAGTATTTGGATTTATGTATTTATTATGAAAGACAAATGTGCTCTTTATCAGTTTTCTTGTCAAATAAAAAGGATAAATACATACTGTGGTTAATTATATAAGGACTGTCCATGGCAGACTGTTGAACTGTTAATATTTAAAATAATATGTTGCCAAACAACATGATTAGATGATTGATGGCTGACTCGCTGTGCTTCGTTTGTTACTTTTGTTTTTCCCGTTTGGTCTGAGCTGTTTATGAGCGACAGACCACAGAACAAAGTGTGTACATCCTCTTGAGAGTAAGTGATCAGCTGCTCAATAATGTTCACTTTATTGAAGCAGAGTGTGTAGATGAGCAGGGCTGTAATGTGAGACTTGCTGTTCCAGTAACAGTTTGGTACAGATCTTAAATTTGCTTCGCTGCTTCTCATGTTGATATTATAAAACTCCCTCTGGTAATCGATTCACTCCAACTACACAAGTTTCAGAAAACATAACATCTGGAAAGTAACACACTGCATGGTCTTGAATGGCATGGTTGTGCGTTGGGGTGAAGTTTCAGCCTTGTACAGTGTTGGTGTTCTCAATCCAGTCTTGACAGCTGTTTTGTATCCTAATCTATTTGAAAATTAAAATAAACAATTTCAAGTTTTATTGTGTGCTGGCTACTTTTAAAAGTCTTGAATAACCTGTATTAAGGTTACCAACAATTGTAAATACTTATGAGCCTGTCTTACATAGTATAAAGAGAGGTTTTACATAGTATATAGTTATAACAGTTTACACCTTATAATTGGAGACAACTGTTAAGAAAAATAAACAGAATTGAACTCTATGGACTGCAGGGAAACTGAGATCTCCTCCCGGTGGGAATCCCCCTCCTTCCGCATTACTATGTGAGAAACCTTAATCCCATCAAAAGAGCTGATCTGCTTCGACATCAACCGCTCCAAACTGCTCGAAAGGGACCGTTTAAAAAGTCATAGATTAGACACATCTCTCCGAGGGTGTTTACTTGTCTTGTTTTACTGCTCACATTTGAAGCTGCACTGATATGACAGTTTACTTGCTCCTAAACTCCTAAACACATGCTACTTTGAAGCACTTGTGGTTTTAGCACTCCTTGATTCCTGTGATATTTGTGGAGGTGTCACATGTGCTACAGACTGGGTTTCACTGAAGGCTTGGCTGGTTCAGGGCGGAGCAGGGGGAGGAGAACTGGAAAATGCTCAGACTTTCTCAAAGATTGGATCTCCTCCTCTTGCCGGCCTGCAAATCACACAACTAAGACATTATCACCATCATGTCACCTTGACGGGTTCACGTGGACTTTCTCAGGGTGCTGTGGGATTGTTCTTTAATAAATGATTTAAGTATGAAACAATAAGCAGTCGCTTGTTCTCTTTGGTCTTTAATCACAAGCAATTAGTGCAACCAAAGGAAAAGTGCTTTGAGAGCTGCTTTGTTGATTTGTGCCAGAAACAACCAGATCATACTTTTATTATTTGTTAAAACCCGTCTGTGGGAAATTTGTAGCCTGCTTTGGTTGCCATTAAATCTGTTGATCAAAGTCATGTGTGTTTCAGACATATTTCATGGTTCATTATTACTGTTGTAGCTAAATTAATGTGGCATTATTGCATTTACTTACAGGACAACTTCTAATTATTACATAAAATATCAACACCAGATTCCATCTCTTCTATTTATTCTTCCTATTTCAGTTGCTCAATTTTAATGTCTACATTATTGTGTTTATATAGTGCATACGATATCAGCATATTTTATCACATGTTCTATTATGAATAACTGCTAATATGGCGTGCTCGCTGTGATCAAACTCCTTGGGTATCTAATGAAGCCAATACTCTTCAGAAAAGCTACGTGTGAACTTTCTACCGAGTCAAATGATTCCTTCCTCTTGAAGTTATCTCATAAGCCTGCACCAGATCTCTAGAGATAACACACAGTCGCATTGTCGCACAACAAGTCCAGGGATAGCTGGAGGAGAGGAGGCGACGCGAGCGCACTTTCCACGAGAAGACGCTCAAGTATTTCTGAAGAAGTGAATTTGGCTGCTTTAAACCGGGAAGCTTGAGGAACTCGAGGAAGTGTTGCCATGGCAGCTGTGGCTGTGCTGAGGAACGACACACTACAGGCATTTCTTCAGGTTCGTGAAAAGTGTGAGATATTGTTGAAAGTGTCCTTCGTAACGCGCGTGTCGCGGAAAACGCAACAAAAAAAAACCTGGTGGTTACTGACGAGCAGTGTCTCTGAGCTGCGCAAACTCCTGCAGATAACGAGACATTTCTATTTTATTTGAAGAAAAAAATAATAATATTTAACATACAGAACATAACAATATATAGGTATACGAACTGTCGGACTTCCTTCATCGTTATGTTGTTTCCATCCATATAATTACTTGAGTTTTTGAGGGTTTCATTTCGATTTTCATCATCAGCAGGCTAATTAAATTTAGTGGAAAACTTTTTTTTTTTTACAGTGTAGCCTGAGATGGCAAATATCTCAGATGATTCAATATAAGAAATACTGAAAACATATTTCACCAATACAGGTAAAGTTATGCATATTCAAATAACCGAATTCCTTCATTTTGTCTAACTTGAGCACAATGTTATCATAGTATCATTGGCTCATTTTGAAATCATGTCTGAGTAATGCTTCATATCCTTTATAAACAGCAAGGTAAATTAGCTTTTGTGGAGAATTTTGTATGTATAATTGAACAAAACATGTGGAAGCGTTTCCCCAAAAAGTTAAATCTGATCTTTAAAAAGTGTTTTCAAGTATGTGTCATGTGTAAATGTTTTAATACGGCTCTTTCCTACGATCCAGGATCGCACTCCCAACTCCTCGCCGGAAAACGGCAAACACTCTCCTCTGGCGCTACTAGCGGCGACGTGTAACCGGGTCGGTCATCATCATCACGGATCCACACCCACGGACTTTATTCAAGTTCCCTACGACGTGACCCTCGGGTCTCCGTCACGGATTTTCCACCCTTGGAGTAACGAGGCGAATCCCCAGTCCTCGCTTTCCAACAATTCTTCCTTTGGACTATCCTCGAAATCTCACCTGCAGGGCTCCTACACCACCCACCACGAGCTCCCCTTAACCCCTCCGGCCGACCCCACGTATCCTTATGACTTCTCTCCGGTCAAGATGTTGCCATGCTCCATGCAGTCGTTACAGTCAAGCTGCCCGCCGACCTACGTGCCCGCCGTCACCTACGCAGCGCCGCCCCCCATCCCGCCCGGTTTCATCCCGGGACACTCAGGCCTGGTCCATCAGCAGCAGAGACAGCTGTCTCCAAACCCCGGGGAGGATATACCGTGGTGGAGCCTTCAGCAAGGAAACCACGTCAGCCACCCGGCGAGCCTCGGCCCCCACCGCTTCCCCATCCAGAGGGGCTTGGTGTTGGGACACACAGACTTTGCACAGTACCAGACTCAAATCGCAGCCCTCCTCCACCCCAAATCCCCCCTGGCCACCGCCAGGCGCTGCCGGAGATGCCGGTGTCCTAACTGTCAGTCGTCCAGCTCCAGCGACGAGCCCGGGAAAAAGAAACAGCACATCTGTCACATCCCCGGATGCGGGAAAGTATACGGCAAAACCTCCCACCTGAAGGCACACCTGCGCTGGCACTCAGGAGAGAGACCCTTCGTGTGTAACTGGCTCTTCTGTGGGAAGAGTTTCACCCGATCGGACGAGTTACAGAGGCACCTGAGAACTCATACCGGGGAAAAACGCTTTGTGTGTCCGGACTGCTGCAAGAGGTTCATGAGGAGCGACCATTTGGCCAAACATGTGAAGACGCACCAGAACAAGAAGAGCAAAAGTCACAAAAAGACCTCTGATTACATCAAAAGACAAGACCTGAGACCTGTGTAGTAGTAGACTTGGATGACCATAGACTAGTGCAATACATATAATCTTCAGGATCCTCTTGAAGACAAAAAATACATTTTTTACTTTTTTCATTAAAAAGATTGATGAGACTTACAAGACTGGGAGTCTTTTTTTTTTGGACTTATATAATTTTCAAGTCATTCTCAGTTCCTCAAGGAACCTTGGGAAATGTTTCCGGTCCCTGAGCTACTCAAAACATTAACAAGTTTTAACTTGTGTTCGTTCAGATCTCTGTCTTCGGTGGAAGATTTCTTTATTCTGTAAATATATTGATAGCTTTTGTTGAATGAAAGTGTCAGTTTTCGCTCCTTGTGGGGTGTTTTAGCATGCTATTGAAAACCATGTGTTAATCTTTCAAAATTATCGTGTGAAAATAAAGACTGTGAAGACTTGTACATGCCATCGAAACATAAGACGGTGAAGTGGAGTTATTAAAAAGTGGATAGATTTATTATTTTTTTAAAAGGAAAAATGCAAGTTAAACAGACAGTATGTGAATTGTGTGTATGAAACGCTTAACAGAGAAATGGTGAAACTCTGTTAAAAATGTCTAGAATGAGCCGAGAATGAAGCACTGTGAGATTTATCAGTTATTAGGATACATAGAGCTCTGATGTTCAGTTCAAAGGACAGCTTTTATATAGCATTATATGATTTTAAGAACAAGGTCCGCAAAAATGTAAATAAAGCAAACATTAACTGACATAAGCTGCATTTTTCTGTTTTTCTTAGTCACTCATAAGCATTTTGCAGATGCAGTCAGTATTTGATTTGTAAAATATATAAACACATCCCCAAGCTATTCTGCAAAACATAATCTGTCTGTTTGTAAGAAATCATTGTAGGTTTTTTAGCGCTGCATCGAAATCCTAAAATCACATTCATGAAAAAAATAACGTGACTATGTCAAACCATGTCAGATTCCTATAATATGTTCATATAATACCATCTGTGTGACTAAGTAGAAAATATCAGTAGTGTGTCGTTCAAATCTGCTCCCTCTACGTACAACATATTTCTATGCAGATTTTGATGTGCTCACACTCGGATCCTGATGTTGTTTTTGCTGAACTGAAATCAAATTAAGTTCATTTTATCCTCAGTCTGTGCATTTAGATTTTTACTAGTGGTTTCTGGCAATTCACTCTAAATGGGAGTATTGTAGCTCTAATTAATTATCTGTCTGAATTAAACTGGAAATGGTGCACGTTTTGTACAGTAAAAGACAGAACACCCATACAAATGTTGTATTATTATTAAGTGAGGTTTCTATTTACAGTTTCTATTATCTTGCATAAAACCAACATTGCTAAAACAAATTAGGATATATTAAGGATGTGTGTATTATTGATATTTGGAAGGGGGATTTTTGGCACCTATGAAGATGCTCAGTTCCTCCTGAAATAGCGCCTCCATTGGTAAAATCCTGGCACAAATCACTAAACCCTTCTCTAATGTGTGCCCACTTACCTGGGTTTAGAGGATCTAGCTATACTACCTGTTATAGCTATACTAGTTAGGGTTAGTCTCTTAAGTCTCTACGGAAGTGCAAATACAGCAACACCCTAACTAGTGCCATACTGCTTTTATGATTTGACCTGCAAATATAATTGTTACAGTTCTACTGTAAATAGTGAAATGCATTAATATTCTATGAAAACATCATTATTTTCCTGTTAGACATGTTAGACATTATTTTCCTCTTAGACACACTGTAGGCCTACAATAAAATTGTATACATAAAACCTCTTTCTCACTGAAGACATGCACTGGATAAAAGCATCTGCTAAATGCAGAAATGTACATTGAATCAAAGTTAAAGTTTATGACAGTTGGGTGTTTTGTAATGTGTTCCTCAAAAGTTACTGACTTCATGTACTTCAGTATCCTTTAAATTCCTGGGTGGGGGGGTATTTCTTTATAATAGTTTTTTTTTTTTTCTCTCTCTCTCATAACCACTTCAGGAAACTCATAATTCTAGGCTGCTAATACCAATCGTGCAATCGTGTACTGGATCTTCATCTATAAAGATGAATGACCTCAATATTTTTACAGCCACATTCTGAATTAAGTAAAGGAGAGAAGCCCTACTTACTGTGTTCACAAATTAATCCTACAACAAATTTAACTTTATTATTACAATAGTTTATTCATATGTACTTCTGTCATAATGAATAGTGATTGTCTCAACACGCAGCTGTTTATTGAATTATTATTCAGACATTCATAATCATCTCTTCACATTCATTCATGTTTTCAGCAGGTACTTTCTTACAAGAGTGACATAAAAACACATGATTGGTAAGTTAGGCCTTAAACATCATGAGAGGCCGATACAAAGTAGCCAACAATTCGCTAAAGCACGAAATAGATACGAATTGCCATAAGAGTGTGTTGGAATTTGCTTACAATAGACAATTAATCATGTTGCTACTGAACTCACACATTGCCATGATGAATCCCAAAATACAAGACAAAAGAAAGCAGGGTATTTGTAATGTAATCTTGACTCACAAAATAACGCGTCATGTGCTTTAGTAGATGTGACTGGTGTCGTGCTATAGACTGAATAATAACTCAAATGACTCAAAATGTCCCATTATGAAGTTAAAAACCAATTACTGAAGGCTCTCTGCGCATGTGCCTTTTCAGGTACTGAGTCTCAATGTGCCACTGCAGCAGCAAGCAGTGACTTCTTCTCATAGGGCAGACAAGGCTGTTCCTCTCCTTCAGAGAGTGAGATATGGTCAGGCTATCACAACAGCACATGTGCCTTTGCACGGAGGGACTGCTGGAGGGAGTTTGTGTTTAAGCCTCACCGTGACCTGATCTGAATGCCACACTCTGATCTTCCTTTGATGTCAGTCTGTTGAAAGTCTGGCAGAATCAGGCATTTAGACACACATACTTAAGCATGCATACTTCAAATCTAACGTGTGTTTTTTTGTTTTTTTTTAATATTAACTGTGAAAAAAATACAAATAAATAATAAACCCAGGCCTAGCTGAGCATCAAATGTTGTTTGGGGTGTGTTTAAGAGCAACACTTCTGGCTGGAGAATGAAGTGATTTATAAATTTCACACCTCTCACCTCAGCCTCACCCAAGTATCCCATGGTACTTTTTTTTTTTTTTTTTTTTTTTTACAAAACAACACATTGATTTTGTTAAACAGTGAGACTAAATACACTGCTATATTGTGACTTGACCGTTTAAATTTGAAAACAATATTGCATACACATTTTTATTAAAAACAATATTTTATTCAGCACTATTTTATTCATTTATAAACATTATTGTAAACATTATTTTATTAATTTATTAAGTGAAATCCTTTCACTGAAAGAAATAGTTCCTATGCTTGTTTCTGTGCATTAAAAATAATGATCTGCTATGTGCAGTGTGCAGTGCTATGATAAACAGGCCAAAGCTGTGGCTAAAATGCAGTATTGACCAATCAGAAGCCAAGGCCAAAGCTATTAATCTATTTTAAAAAAAAATTACATTCTGAAAAGAGACACAATCGACAAATGAAATTTTCATAGTCAATCTTTTTTTTTTTTTCCTCACATAGTGTGGTTGTATTTCTGAACATTCTTTTAAGGCTATGAAATATTCACATTATCATCATTATCATTATTTGACCACATTAAAAAAAAAAGAGTCAAATCCGAAAGTCTAAATTAAAGAACAATATTTTAATGCTATGCAAACATAATGCAATTATTTATTTTGTTTTATTGTATTGCTTAATATCTACTTGATGTGTCTCAGGGATTTTATATACATGATGACATAATTTGCCTAAGAATCAGGTGCAAGTGATGACTGAGCTACTAATATACCAGCGCCATCTCGCGTCGACTTGAGGTTCTGGAGCTACAAAGTGTGATCATATTTTGCGTCTGTTCTGCTGCTTCTTACTGAAATCTGAAATTACTATCGCGTGAACGGTTCATTCAAACATAATCCATAGGTGGGAATAGTTCATCTAACTGGCGCTAAAGTCAAGAACAGCGTTGTTTTTAAAAAAAATAACGTTTAATCGCAACCATACAATTGAAAAAAGAACCATTGAGAGAGAAAAAAAAAGCTTAATTTTGTAATGACCACCAATGTCTACAATGCTAATGGGAAATAAATGATTGATAGAAAATAAATATATTGCTGCACTGTTAAAAATAAAGGTTCCAAAGTTACTCAACATGGGTTTCTTTGTTAATAAATAAATAAAAATGATATAGTTCAGTTTAGACTGCCGGTGCTGTAAAAAAAAAACATTATCAGAAGAAACCAGTTTAACTGCCAACTCAAGAACTCTATTCAACAGAAAGTGATTCTTCATAGGAGAGGGTTCTTTGAGTTGGAAAATCCATTGAAGAAACCTCTATGTTAACAATAAAGAATAAACAGCGGGTGCTATGATGAGTTTTCAGTTTGATTCACTGAAGCTTAATGCATGTTTAGTGCTGGTTTTCTTTTGTTGCAGTCCTTCTGCGGGTTTGAGTCGCAAAGGGAGCTGTCCAGGTGCTGAAACGTCTCGACGCTGTCCAGCGGTTAATATTATTCCTGTACAGTCGACGCATTCCTTCGTGTCAAAACACACAAAAATGTTTAGGGAAAATGATGCTTAAGGAAATCGTATCACCTTGATGAAAAAAAAAATAAAAATGTAAAACGCGGTGCATGCATGAACTAGGAATATGCGTGTGAGATTCTTACATGAATTGAACGCTTGCTGCCACCATGTGGAGTTCTCCTACAACACCAGTCTGAACAGCATTCCCATTCGTGTCCAACATCCAGCACTAAAACTTCTCAAACAAGAGCTTCTCTTTTCAAGGTTAAGAAGACCGCTTGGCCATAAACATGTAGACTAACCCTTCAAATCTCGATGAGTAGGCGATCTCGTTTATAGATATTTATAATGAATAACCTGTTCAAGCACAGGTGCTGAAACCCACTGTTCTCCAAGCACTGTTG